TCTGATTTTTTATTATTTTTCCATTCTTTGTCTATAAAAAATGGAACAAACCACCTTTGCATAATTCGCAAAAAACCAACATTTTCATATTTTGAGTTCAACATATTATAATAAAAAGGAAAAAATAATAAAAATAATAATGGCAATATTGAATGATTTATATTTTGTTTATAGTTCTCCCGTTCTTTTCTTTCAAACATTCATTTATATTCGATCACCTTGAAATTGAGTTGATAAATTTCATCAGGTATTTTAAACGTATTTTTTTATTTTTTATTTATATTTTTCATTTAGCTATCTACTATTATTTTTCTCGATAGGATATCTTCAGCTAATTAGAAAATTTTGAGGTTAGATACAAAAAACGACATATACCATTCTGGAAGTCAAATACATCAGTATAAGACCTTACAATGCACACGCCTAGCAAGGAAATCATACCAATGAATCATTAATGACTTACATTATCCTCAGCGTAATCGTCATCAAGTAACTCTCGATTTGCCTGAGATCTTCAATATTCAGCTATAATCCAGGAAAACTTTCAAACACTTTTTATAAGAAACGAATTATTTGAATCTTATCACGACATCAAAGTACAAAGATTTTTTGGAGTTCAATATACAGCGATTATTGCAATTAGTATAGCAACCATACATATATATGATGGTCTGGGTAATCTCGATAAAATGTCATTGCCAAGGAAAACTAGTATTAGAATACACGTATTTCAAAGACTTTCCGAGTTACACATGATTTGGATGCTGATTTAACACATTTCAGTCTTAAACAATAACTACTAGAGCATCCTGAGAGACAAGTCTTATGACGTTTGAAAGCATCCTCAATTCACACACAAAAGTAATAGGTCAGATTGAAAATGCAATCAACTTCTTTATAACCTCAGATGATGAATCAATATTTGACAAAAAAAGGAAACTTCACGGAATGTGATTATATGGACGATTTCCAGGAAAAAGCTTATGAAGAGGAGATGGTGCGAGAATAGAAAGCGACATATAACGATGATTGTAAGCTCGAGACACACTTTGCTGCATTGGGCAGCCCAGAATATTTTTATCTTTACCATTGAAAATGACGCGAATGAAATATAAGCTGAGAAAATTTGCGTTTTAAAATGGGATTGAAAGTGCTGCTTATGGAATTACAATATAATAATGAGTAAAATGTAATCCATTTTGGGGGTGAGTGATTTTTTCATAATGTATGCTGCTTATATCTAAATATGAGAATAATACATTATATACATCATTGCCGGATAACTCTCTAAAACAGATCTTATAATAATGTATTTTATGATCAAGAATTTCCTCTTTCTCTGTTCTTAAATTGAATCAAAAGTATATATATATATAAAATAATGCGGGAAAAATTTTAACTAGCCGATAGGCTGTCAAAATGTTCACGAGATATATTTAGTTTTTGATTAGTCAACTCGAAGCGCTAGGAGAAACGTTGGTTCCCATTATAAAGAACTTTTTGCTGTTCCAAAAAAATTAATTTGAATAGATCAGACGAACTTTATTACTAATTTTAATGATACCCGTTTTAGGTTCAACCTCTTTGATTTTTTCACAATGGGACGAGAAAAATATTTTAATTGTGAAGAAATATTATTGTAATTTAAAAAATAAAAAAATAATTAGACAAATTTAAGTTTTCACTCAATACAAATTTTATTCGATTGATGCGATTTGTTTTTCCCATGCCAAAAAATAGGGTAATTATAAGGGTTCTTTTGTGAGAAACTCCAAATATCAAAATGCATATCACACCTTTTTTAGTATTCAATTTTAGGAGATGTATTTCAAGGCAAATTATAAAAGATTAGGTTTTGATCATAGATATTTTCCATTTTAGTCACGTTTTCGTCAAAAGAAATTTCATAAAGTACCAAATATTTTGTTTAATTTCCTTCGAAGCATCAATCAAATTGGTTATACGTAATCTAGATAGAAATATATCCATGAGTACGCTTGTCGATAAGGAATTTTCCTTGCCTCTATTCATTATGTGATTTAGCTATTAATAATTTGCTCTTTTCTTCGAGCTCTTTAGCCTTACGTGCTCGCCATTCGCACACGTCCACATAATCGCAAGCACAACATTTCCATGCCTCCTCTATCTCAACACCCGTAGCAGCCCTTAACCCCTTCCAAAAGTCACCACAACGTTTCAAATATTTTTGGAGTGCAACACCGTCATATATGTATTTATGAGTGCCAATAATTTTGCCATCCCCTTGATACCGGTAACTTAACTCTAACTCTTTGCTTGATTTGGTGAATTTGGTACTTTGATTTTTAATGTGTAGCATTAATGTTCGGATTGTATTTTCGGGATGCTCATCAGTTTCTGTTTCCTCCTTGATCATCATTATCTTTTTGAAGATTTTGTTACCCTTGTTGGCCTTATCATCATCGTCAAAATTCTGTATCATTTTCTCGGGATTATCCAAAGCAGTCAAGGTCTTATGAACGTGATTACCAAATTCCCTGGAAAATGATGCATCCGGATCAATTCTAGCCGCTTTGTATAAGCGTTCTTCATTGATGCCATACAACATAAATTCATCAAACAATCGTTTGTAAAGCATCAATTGATATTTATTTCCTGGCGTAGAATTTTGAGAAATATAAGGTTTGCTGCGGGTTTTTGTATCTGACAAGAATAATGCAGTCTTGGAATATGTTGACAATGATTCTATCTCACGCTTATGACGTTTAACTGGAGGCTCTTGGACTGGAACCGATTCCTCATTAGAGATTGGACGCCTCTCAACTTCATCAATGACCCCAAAAACCAAAAATTGTTCAATAAATCCAAACATTGGTAGTTCACGTGTTTTTCCTTGTTCTTGAATTTCAAAAAGGCCGGTAAGCAAATTGAGCAGTCGATTTCCCCAACGATCTTCTCTGGTTTTCAGTTTAACTTCAACTATCTCATGTACTTCCAATTCCAAAGTCAGGTGAATTTCGGATCCCTTGGCCATAACCTCAGTTTGTCGTCTCCCCCCATCAGCTAAGGTGAACTCAAATTGAGTCTCGCACCAAGCGAGTGCAGCGAAATCCGTGACTGAAAGACAATTTTTTTTCGAACGATAGAGTTCAAACGGAGATTTCTTTTTTTTTTGGTCTTTCATCTCGTCGATAGAACTAAGCGCACCACTGGTTCCCGAATCATGAATTGTATTTGGCATTACATTTTGATTTTTACTAGGGACTAAATCGCCAATAATTTCCGAAACATGAATTGTTTTTGGCTTTACATTTTGATCTTTGTTAAGAACTGTGTTCGGCTTTACAATTTGGTTTTTATTGGGAATTGAAGGTGTGGCCTTATCGACGCGAGAGGAAGTTGATTCGAAATGTTTCTGACGTTCCGAAGGCATTCCAAAAATATTCGTTAGATCCTTCAATACAGGATTTCTTTGCGGCGCAGTGGAATTACTACTATTCTCTTCATGTGTTTTCGTCAGATCAATGATATTCGACGTGACATTCTTAATAGCAGTAGTCGTCGTAATCGTCTTGCTAGTGGATTCGTAGCTAATTGCGACGTGTGCACGACGACTTTTGAGTTGCAGGCCTTTTCTATTGTTGTTGGTGGTGTTAGTGGAGCTGCTGAATTTTGAATTTTTTGTAGTTTGATTAGTGTAACGTGATGCTACTTTTGGTTTTTCTTTCTCGGTGTTACTTGTCGTAGTTCGTGCTGTAGCAGTGGTAATAGCGGCATAGACAGGCATTCCAAGAACAAATCGAGGATGACGCGCTTGGTTTTCTCTCGTGATGCGTTCTTGGATGGAGTACGAAATTGGCATTTTACCAAGATAAATTAGCTCGTGATACGCGTTTACTTATGGATTAGCATTAAGTTAAATAGTATAGGTAGCGCAGTAATAAATACATCGTGAGAATATATTGCTCTTGATATAACAAATGGTCCGGGTCTTTTAATAAAAATTTGTTGAGTTTACTTAGTATTCAGTATTCACTACATAGTGAATTCATTACATCCAGAGTGACTAAGTACTTATTAATTGTATTAACTCAATTTTAAATTATAATTTAAGTCGAATTTCAATATAATTTTATAAATAAAATTAAAATATTGTTATTTTATTATGATAATTCTGGCTAGAATATTCATCATGAACCGTTTTCACCATAATCCCCATATTTAATATAGTTACAGTAATACCGCCACATATAAGAACCATTTTCTTATAAACATCTATAACCATGTTCTTATATTTTAATATTTATAATAAGTTGGTTCTCAAAGAACTGTTCTTATTTTAAAAACGTTTCTTATCTAGCGTGTTCTTATATAGAGGTATTCTTATATAGAGGTATGACTGTAATTATATTTAACGATTAGTTTATTATACTCATATTTAAGAGTATAATTATAATATGATTGATCTTTGATATTTTTATGATTTATTTTTTTAGATTATCAATAATATTTCAAGATATTTTTTTTCTTGTTGATAAGATCTTTTAACTTAGTAATATCAAATGCACAAGGGATCCGAGTATCGACTAGTTAACACAATGAAACTACATGATGTTTCAACACTGACTCGGTCAGCTACAATAAGTTGGTTCCAAGTTTTCGTGTCCGACTTTGGTAGCAAAATAACATAACGACAATGATATGCATGATTATAGAAGTATTTTAGATAGCTATGTGTTTTGTATAATTTAACGTTAACGATATATGGTAAGATAAACAGGTTTTATTAAAACCATGTGGTTTGTTTCATAAGCGAACAAAGACAAGTGTAAATGCTATCTACCATAACAATAATTATAATAGCGTCATTAATACATGCACTCTAATAATAGTTAAATGAGAATATTAGATTATTCTATTATATTTAGTTTTAAACAATGGGGACTAAGAATATATAGTAAGCTCAATGATGAAGTAAGAAACTAACGATAGCAATCAAGAAGATTGCAAAACCAAATGAGGAACTATTTGATGATGCGCTATTTGGTTTTGAACTGTTTGTTGGCGTTGTTTTATTATCACCACCATCACCTGATGTGGTACTAGTGCTATTCTTACTATTATCACCATTAGTGGTACTGTTAGAAGTCTTATTGGTCGACGGGGGAGTTCCAGCAGCTTTAATGCTAAATTTTCCACTTTGTGCTACTGGAGACGGGGTTGCCGACGTATCATTTGAATTGCTAATGAATATAATCTCGTAGTCGTCACCGACTGCTCTGTCGGTGCCTATGGTCCAATTGAATTGTTTCGTAGAGGTGGCAACGTTTCCGATTCCGAGGTTTCCTGCGAATGATTTGTTGGTTGGTCGTTCGTCAGCGAGCTTTATCGATATCTGATCAGGGACTATTTTTTATTTAGTATCGAATGGGTGAGTAATCTGTCTTCTGAATGAATGAGAATTTGACCAGGAAGCTAAAAGAATTATTGTAAATACCATTCCCGCTATACGACCAGGTAATTAAATAACTTTGGTTCTGCACGACATAATTGTCCGGAGATGGCGTCAAAATTGTTATATCGGCTGAATTTTTGAAAATTCAATAAAACATGAAGCAATGAGGATCAATCTAATAGATAGTCATAGATACGATAGCATATATATATATATATATTGAAATTACCAGCAACAGTCGCTACCCAAATTACGAGAATCAAAGAAATGATCTTTGATGATGACATCATAGTAATATTTTATAGAGAGGATATAATATATTATATATAGAGCGTACGAAATGTGCAAACTTGTTTTTAAGGTTTTTTATAAGAACGCATTTACAATCCCCATCTATCACTCACTCTTTATATATCTATGTAAAACAGAAATGTGCACGCGCATACATGCATATAATAATAAAAAATTGAACACAAATTTAAAATCGGTTGTGCCAGTGGGTGATAAGATAGAATGAAAAAATTAGTCATTATTCTTATTCAGTTTATTTTTGTTTGTTTTCATTCTACATGGAAATGAATGAATGACCATCTCACTAGCTGATTGAGTGTTGAGTTATACGGATAACCATAAGCTAACTCTTTTATAACATTAAAGTTTCTGTTAAAAAAATATCGAGTCCTACCACACAACCAATTATTATTATTTATTATTATTATTATACATGTCAGGTACATAGTCATCTGTATTATGACGGAAAGACAATTTGACACACATGTACACGCGCATATATTGACCTTCATTGTTACCATTATTTTTTATTACATAATTAGAATTTTTTATATTAGTGAGAAAGGAGGGCAAGAATTAAAAGAACCAAGTTGAACTGGCACTCCCATACACATTAGATTAACGCCGATTAACTCTGATTAACTCTAAATCTAAAACAAATAAACAACACGCAAGCCAAAAAAAACCATGCCCAAAATTTCCTTTTCCTTTGTTTCCTTTTTTCCTTTACAAGTGTTCTACAAAATATACAATGTACAAAAGGAGGGTAAACAGACAAACGCACGGAGGAGGTCTGTGCCACGTTGGAGACAAACGCCATCATTGGTCATCATGTATTTTATATTACATTTACTTACATTTACTCCATCTGTCTCATCATTCATGCTATCAGTATAGAATAAACGATGAATTACAATATATATACGTATACATAAAAATAAAAGATTGCCTGAGAAAACTAAATTTAGGGATTACCGACACTCTTTCTTTATTTAGCAAATCAAAATAGAGGTGAGAGAATTTCTCATCTAATATCATATTATATTTATTCCCTATCTTCCGATATACAAACCTGTATAAGACCCTCTTTTTCATACACACTTCAGTCATATAAACTTTGACTCCCTCCAACTGCCAACCACTCTTTATCTCCACTTCCATAACTTTTGACAAGTAATACTAACCCCTGAACAAACAAATAAAGAGTCAAATTTCAAATTAGCGGTTGTTACTCAGCAAGAAAAGAAAAATATTCATCCCCGGCCACCTATTTCTATCAAACATAACAAGTGCAATAATAATATTTTTCTAAATATTTTTGTCATCATTTATTTGATACACCCGAAAGAAGATATATAAATAGTAGTCCCTCTAATAATAATAACTAACTACGACAATGTTACGAACCCCCACTGGAATTCCCCGTCCACGGAGCACGAGTACTGATATAAACTCTCCACATTTACAGCTAACTGCCGTTCCAGAAGGCAATGCTACAAACGACGCTCGAAAGAGACAAGCAAAAAAAGATGAGACCATAAGAAAGAAATTGGAGCAAGAGTTGTCACGGCAGACCGGAAAAACGTTTACCAAGCCACCGCAAAGGTGTAATGGAACTGTGGGTAGTCTGAGACCATTGCCTGCTATAACATTACCAGGTATTTTCTTTGTTTTATCTGTTATTTTTCGATGATTTTTTCTTTTGTTAACCTTTTCCTCCTTTTTCTTTTTTTTTTTGAAAAGAAACCGCAACCGCTTCTGAAGCTGCACGACACATGGCAGTAAAGCGGTAAATACGATCATCATGATCATCATCATGTTGCCTTTTATATATCTTTTTGTCTAATCAAAATTATAAAAATATCAGAGCGGACGCTGTTCTTGTTACCGATGAAGATGATCAATTAACGGGCATTGTCACTGATAAAGATTTGGCTTTTCGTGTACTTGCCGAAGGCCATGATCCTAGATCAACATCCCTTGGAGATATAATGACCAGAGATCCATGTACAGTTACCACAGCCCATAATGCCACAGATGCTCTTAACAAAATGGTTGCCGGAGGCTTTCGTCATTTGGTAGATGTTTTGCTAATCTTGATTGTATTACGTTTTCTTACTTGATAATTATTAGTATTTATTGGTGTTTTGTTTTTCTCCATAAAATAGCCAGTAACTGATAGCAACTCTGAAGATATAATAGGAATGCTGGATATCACAGAATGTTTATTAGAGGCTCTCACGAAACTTGAACGCGCACAAAAATCGTCTAAGCAATTAACCGAAGTATTAGACACAATGTCGGAATACGACACCGCACACAATAAAGATGTGACGATATACGTGAAAGCGCTACGAGAACAACTCGGATTCCCAACAGTGTCGTCGATCCCTCTTCCGAAAGCTCCATCTGAAGTCTCTATTCGAACTAACGTACGCGATGCGGCACGTGTAATGAAAGAATGTCACCAGACTGCGACATTAGTTATTGACGAGGGAAAAACTGTCGGAATTTTCACTTCCAAAGATATTGTTGTTAGGTAAATATGATAACCACTTAATTTATTGGGCTATGGCAATGTGGAATCACTCAATTTCTCATCAAATATTAACGTCGATATTCCTAGGGTAATGGCTATGGGTCTAGATCCGACAATTACCTCTACAGTACGAGTAATGACTCCATCGCCGGACATGGCAGGTCCGGATATGACAATCCTGGACGCATTACGCAAAATGCACGGTAATTACTTAATATTGAGATAATCAATCTAATTATTATATTATTTCCGATATATTTATTTTCTGTCTTTTATAATAATAAAAAGGGGGACACTATCAACATTTACCATTACTTGATCAAAATAATTCGGTGATTGGTGTGGTGGATATTTTACAACTTACATATACTACCTTGAATACGGTTAGTTTCTTATAGGCAAACATACGTGCCAAATTATGTCTCATTAGGATTTGTATAATAATTAAATATTTTTCTTCATTATTACAGCTGAAATCCATGCAAATTCAAGAAGCCGACGGACCAGTATGGAACAAATTCTGGAACGCAATCACTACGGATGAAATCAACTCTGACAGTCTCTCTGATCATCGCACAAACAACCACGGTTCACTCTCAATCGACAACCACAGTATTAGAAACCCATCAACAGGCGCCACTAGTCCATCATCAAACGAGGGTGGTCCAACCCTAAGTCGTCGCTTTTCTACAGTGTCGAAACTCGACGACGATACATTCACATTCAAATTCACCGATCCAAGTTCTTCACAGACACATCGATTCAATGCGCCATGCAAAGATTTGGAGGATTTTTCGAAAGTAATTCGTGGGAAGATGTGTTTAGATTCGCCGTGCAGTTTGACGATCAGTTATATCGATGATGAGAATGATAAAATCGTGTTGAATTGTGATGATGATTTACAGACTGCCGTCTCGGCTGCACGAAAAGCTCGAAGTAGTTTAATAAAATTGGTCGTGGATATTCAACAGCAGTCGTATCCTCCATTAGAAGATGAACTGCTTCCCGATATACCGGCATCCCCGGCTTCTCCAACTCCATCATATTCTCGATCTTCGCGGTCGCTTCAATCTCCTTCTCCCACGACTCATAATTCTTATTCTCCTACTCAACTTCACACAAAAAACTCTACATTAACTGAATTTTTGGCAGTTTCCGGGGGGTCATTTACCGTGGGACTTGCTGTTGGAGCAGCTTTGATGTGGGCTTTCTTAAGAGCAAAATAATATTAATAATCATATATATATATATATAAAATAACAAAATAATATCGTAAATAGCAACAACAAAATATCAGTCATCTAGTTTGTTGGTTGTATTAGTTGCTCTCACTCGGATCCCTACACTTATGGATTTAGTAAGATAGGCGGTTGAAATCCTTAGCATGAAACCTCTAGAACATCAAAGAAACCTTTATTAATTAAAAATTAACAAGGACATTCTGAAAAAATCATTTTTAGCCTGCCTTTATTCAACTAATACGATTTACTTTAATACGAATACCACTATTACCCTTGCATTCTTTTTCTTAATTGTAATTATTTTTACAAATCTTTGAATATATTTTTTCCTTTTCCTCATGTCCTCCTCTTGCCGCTTCTCTCATATCAATATATTTTGTGTAGAAAAAAATTTTCCAAAGGGATATATATATATGTATTATATACGTTTATTAATATTATTTATTTTATTGAACTTTTATATATAAACCACACAAAACTCCAATGCAAATTTCATCGTCATTTTTAATTAAATTTTTGTAAAGGCATCTAATGCTTAAAAATCACCATACTCAATATCAAATTGGTTTAATTCAACCAAAAAAATAATTAATAAAAATAGTCATCATTTTTTCGCTTTGCTAAACCAAGGTGGCAATTCCCCGCCCCATTTCTCATTCATCTCTTTTAGTAATTTTACGTTACTCAAATGCCATTTACTTTTCAAATGTTGTTTCCATTCAGTCGGTCCGTTAAGCGTGATAATGGGGGATAAATTTGGCGATGATAACGACGGTGATCTTCGTCGAGATTCTGATTCCGTCTTCGATTGATGATCACAAGCATCACTATCCTCTTGATCAATTTTATCATCCTGATTGAGCTTATTATAACCGAAAAGCTTTGCGAATTTCGTGCAGATTTCACATTGATATTTTTTCCAGTTGTGGATACTTTGTGATGTGCTACATATAAAGACGATTTATTAGTTTATTATTCAGAATAAAACCATGCATCATTTATTTACCCCATTTTCTGGATTGGCTGTGATAATATTTCTGCAGCTATGGAATTTAATTGCGTAGGATCAGGCCCTGTGCCAGAGTTCATAAACTCTTAAAAAAAAGTAATCAGTTATTTCTGGATTTTTTTAATCATGATACAAATTAAACATTATCAAAAAGAAAATACCTTTTGTGATATTTATGGCGACATTAGAGACGTTTTCGGTCCAAGTGTCCAAAGCTTTGTTTTGATGATTTATTGTTATAGCGTTTATATGTAATTATAAGGCAAGAAAATATTCCCCCCCCCAAAAAAAGAGGATACAAGTTGCATCCAATAGATACAATTTCGTGATATGTGTCTCTTCTGATTGAGACGAAGACGAAGAGATTTGTTGTTGTAACTTTAGCAAGAACTTATTACGTATCCAACGCACTTGTCGCCTTGCGTAACGACGAGTCGCAGCTTTCATCGTATTAGTACACGATTGCTTCAAGATTTGGTCGTTTTCTCGAGTAGATGTAATGTCTATAATTTGATCTAACTTTATTAATAGAACCTCAGGTTATATTCGAAAAAAAAAGCTTCACAAACCACCTAAAGAGTCGTTAGTACACTCCAACGACGATAAATACGGATCAAATTCTTTGTAGCCTAATCAGAGAGAGAAGGAAATTTCCTTCTTGATGTTATTAAAGTTAAATTGAAAATTGGTTTTATAAATCCACAAAAAATTTGTGAAATTTGCAAGAGAAGGTAAGGTATTTTTTGAAGCCAATTTCCTACCAATAGCTTGCCATATTCCGTGTGTATAATCGACAGGATCTCCAGTCGGCGTATTTTGTTGTCCCAATTTTAGTTCATTTCTCAGATATCGTATTTCATCAAACAGACCTTTCTAATTACAAGATCGCGATAAATTAACATCAGAGTATATGATCTGGAAGAGTGATGCTTTATCTGATCCTTTTTTTACCTCTATCATTTTATCAACTCTTGCGTCCAGTCGAGGATTGAGATATTCAGGATCGGCATATAGCCAGAATATGCATGTTCGCGGAAATCTTCAACAATACAGAAATTAATTGAGCTTTTATTTAATTTTTTCGATATATATTACAATTTGCATTTACCGAGGTGAGTTAGCTTCTTCTTCAAGTTGATGTTGTGCATCGATCCACTCACTATGTCGTTTACCAGTTCTCATATAAATCTAATTATTAAAACCTCAAGATTTGAAATTAATGAAGTTTGAAGTAATATGCAAGAAAAAAGGACCTGTAAGCTTCTACGAATTTTTCGCCTATCATTCCAGTGCCATCTGTTCGCCATCACCGGATCGACTTCTTGTAGACGTTTGTACAAGATACTGGTATCAGCATTAAGTATCTTCTCTTCATCATCATTCTTACTATAATCATTCTTATTATCATTCTCGTTGTCATCAGAATCTTCGCTAGATGAAGATGATGATGCCGTCTCGCTGACAAGTGAATTTTTCCAGAGTAGTGATTGTATGTAATAGTGAGTGCCTCCGACAATTATTGGTAGATGATTTCGAGAATGTATCTCGTTGATCTAAAAATCATTATAATAATAGCAGCAGCAACAACATCAGATTATCAAAATTTCTATATGGAATTACAAGAAAATGCAAAATTAAGATTTTAGCACATACAAGTCGTAAAGCATCTTTAGTAAATTCAGTTACTCGATATTCTTGATGCGGCTCCAGAAAATCCATTAGATGATGCGGAACTCCGTCCTGTTCTTCGACAGGTATTTTGTTGGTGATGATATCCAGTCCTTTGTAGACCTGGATTAATATGAGGAGGATTAACTCTGTCCATAAAGCATCATCCGATACATATTTGATAGTAATGAGTGAATGAATGAATAAATGAATAGATTTTAAAGCTCAAAGATGAATGTTTTCTCTTCACATTGAAAGTTTATTATAAATAGTAGTTGAAACTTTTGTACATTTGAAACAAATTCACTTTTTCACTCCCCAATGTCTCATATATAAAATCTATCCTCGTTTATAATAACGAGCTTAGTATTAACTCAAAAAGATTCTTGCCAAAGAACCCAATAAAGATGAAATCCACATGTAAACTTATTAAAGTGAAGTTTCTCGGTTTAATTAAAGCATTTTTTCTATTGCTAGCCTCATTATGTGAACTACTATTATTATTCAAAATATAGTTGGATCGATTAATCTTGACAAGAGCAAAGTGACTTTAAGCAATGTATAATATGTTGAACTTTACGCATAACAAAATTTCATTTATTTGCTCTATCTACGTTGGAGACCCAGTGCTCAAACGAATTGTCTACACTCTCATAAACTATTCCCGAAGGTAAAACGCGTCCAAAATTGCTCATAAAATAGGCATCAGCGCTTAATTACCTGCATAGAATCCCCGTTAATAACCTCTCCGTTAAACGCTTTAGCTAATTGAACCCCCAAATCAGATTTTCCCACTCCAGTAGTTCCAATAATGGCAACCACACACTTATTCATACTGTATTTTTTAACATTAACGAAGGAGGAGGAACGTCGACTTGACAATACAAGTTTCCACGTTGAAAAGTATTCAACAATGCGAAGCATACAAAAAATCTACGATGATGTATGTGCCACCTCTCCTTAAACCACGTGCATCTTGCAAACTTTCGACAACCGCGCTTTAAGATCTAGAAAAAAGCAATCTTACTCTATATATGTATTTACTTACTATACATGTTAACATTCTATGGCTGAAATAAGACAAGCGGACCCTGTTCGACAGCTAATCATCAAATCGCTCTTTTCAGATTCTGTTGAGGATCCGAGGTCACCAGGTTGACGTTCAACAAACTTATTTCACTTTCGATATAAAGGAAACTGCTTCAACAAGTTAAAATTGGTAATTTTACCGTTGTCACTATCACTTTTAGGTCAATCCTCAGAGTCAGAAAAGTTAGTCAGTTATCTTAAAGTTAATGAGGAGACTTGGGGAGGCCAGTCACCTACTGGTTTTGATAGGCCCGCATCGATTCTAAGAAGAGGCAACAGGGCAGATAAAACTCGTTATCTTTTATTATCAGGTTTTGATTTTTTTATAGAGAATTCATATTTTCCATTCTTTTCAAAGGAAAAATGTTTCTCGGATTTTTGAATTTTACAATTTCTTATCACGATGATAATAACAAACGACAACTATTATAACAGTAAATAACCGAAAGGGCCGAGTACGTCTTCATAAAGCCAAGAAAAATGGTAATACACATTTTCAGATTGGCAAGACATGGCCTCTCGAAAACATTGTTAGCGTTGAAGTTATTGATGTATGTGTTTCCGATCTGTTCTGATCTAATAAAAGTTCAACAAGAGAATCAATTATTTTTACAATTTGTTAATCATTGATATTTATTCATTTATTTATTTGTTTATTTATTGGCAAATATTGCCTATAATTATTAGCCACAAACTTTTCTGATGACCATGAACAAGACATATTGTTGGTCTGCCGAAAAACAGCGTGAAAAAAATGAATTCTTGGCTAGTGTGTTGAATGTTTGTATATATCTCTCTATCCATCTATTTATACGGATTTTTATCGGCAAAAAATTAGAATAATTTTAGAATTTCATTTTTTTGTACGCGTTACTTAGATATATCAAAAACACATTAACCGACTTCCACAGTTAATCAATGTTGGAGATAATATACTTCGAGGTATTTGTCTGCTTGTCAATCCAATTTAAAAGAAAATTTTCTCTAATATTTTTATATTTAGAAATTCAACCTCGATCAACGTTGAACGGCGATACCGACAGCTATGAATTAGCAGCTTCACTGCAATCACGACTAGAAAACAAGTCTCAGCCGACTTTCCCGCGTACAGTCGACCAAAGTTTGCTAAATCTTGTGCAGAATGACAGATCAACACCTTCTTTATCACGAGGTGGAGGAAGTGAAACACCGATCATAGGGAATTACGCGGATGACGAAGACTGTAAGATTTTTCCTCATTGTATAATTATGAGGGCAAATATCTTAATTTAATTTTTTTATTGGAAATTTTGGTCACAAAGATGCTAAACAAGAAGAAATTTCTTTGATAAATGTTGAAGAACTGTTGAATGATTTTAACTGGAAGGAGACCGGAAATGCAGCAGCGTTGGAAGAAAGATTACTGAACGAATTGGCGGCGTTGGAAGCTGTATGATGTTTTTTAATATTATTAATATTAATAATATTAATATTGTTATTTTTATTCTTTTATGGTATTATATACTTTATAGTATTATTGTTTATATTTGTGATATTCATTTTAATTTTGAAATTAATAAGGCAAATATTCATGCGATGGTTGAATCGGATGATAGACTCAACGCGGTTATCCGACAACTGGATAAAGCAATAGCTGAATTAGATCATATGGATCAATGGTTGACTTTGTATACTGCCGAGTTAAATGTATGTATATCGGGTCTTCTTTTTTGCTCCTTGTCGATCTATTTTACTTTCCAAATTTAAATTTAACTTAATATATATAATTTAATATTAACAAATAATAATCGCTCGGAAAATAACTAGAGCATGGGCGAAGATATTCATCATATTGAATCGCAAAATCGTGGTTTGCAAGTACAAACAGCAAATCAGAAAGCTTTGCTTGCAGAGTTGGATAGGTTAATTGTAAGTAATAAGAGTCAAAAATAACACAAGTTTTATTGAGCTTTCTTTTAATTTTTTTTATATTTGCAGCAATCAATCACTATTCCAGATGAAGTGTTCTTAATATTACGTCAAGAAAATTTAGATACGGTTCAAGGTGTTCAACGTATTGAAGAGGCAGCAGCTCGTCTACAAGCTGCATTAGAATCCACTTTCGATGAAGGTTATTTCATAGTTCTATTCTTACTTAGCAAAATTCTACGATGATTCTACATAAATTAAATGATTATTTATGTAACATACATAATAGCAACGCGAGAAATGGTTGCGGTTAAAGAAAAAGTGGAGTTATACAGTCTACACAGTAACGGATTCTCCAACCGTCTCTACGACCATTTAAAAAAATCGTTCCAGTATCAGGTAGCCAGACTCTTGTCAAAACATTTATCTCCCATTATATAGCATAAAATATACATATCACTTTTCAATCAATCAATTTTTGATTGATGACTTGAAGTAGTAGCTGTTTTTTCCACAATAACGCCAATTGTCTTAGGCAGATATTTTGATGAATGATAAAAGTCGTGGTCCTCGACGTAATAGTCTTACGGTCCTCGGACACGAGACCATTGAAGATTGTTTGTTGAAGTATCGCGGGCTCTCGTTGTGGATGAAAGAAATTGATCCGCGACGTCATAATGAGTTGCAGTCTGTGAGTGTTTAAAATTTATTGTTATTTATCTATTATGTTAAGATTTCTTCTTTATTGCATAATGGCGTGGTTAATTATTTGTATATTTTTTTTTAGTTATATGTGCAAGAAGTTGCGCCTATTTATCAAAAAGAAAGTAAAGAATATATGGTACAAATGCGTTCGATGCTTTCGAAAAGGGAATTGGTTGAGGAAGCGAGTTATGGTATTTCTTATTTCTAATATATATATATGTGTGTGTGTGTGTGTGCGTGCGTGCGTGCGTACGTGCGTGTTTATTATTTTAATTACCATTTAAAATGCCATCACCTTTTTGCAGTTTTTAGTGCTGCTTCACATATTCAAAGCCATCGATCTGGTCTCGCCAGCGGAAGTTCTGGTGACTTTAGTAGAGCACCATGGGAATACAAAGATGCTGGAGGTGGAAAACTTCCACCCGAAGAGGTTCATTTTGGCTATTATTACGTTTGCAATAACAGGAATATCGCCAGATCTTTACAATAATTTCATTTTGCTGCTCCCCTCTTTTATTAAATAGGGATTTGATCAAATAATGTTGACAATCATTCCATTGATTGTTCGCGAACAAAACTTCATCTCGGATTTCTTTCATCTCGGCAATAAAGGCCCGAAAACCTTTTTGAACCGAGAAGAATTGATGAATTGGAATTCCCAAGAGTTGAATGCTAAACGTGTGCCTATTAAAGATTTTCAAGCGCAAAAAAAATTATTGTATTTATTATTATTGTTTATTTTCAATATTCTTTGAGTTGGAAATTTTTCTAATCCGTGTTATTATTGATGATATTGTCTTCCTTTAGAGAACATATGCAAAACGTGTTTTCTTTTTTGCCAGAAGAATTAGCTAATTTTATCGATTTCGGATGTAAACATGATAACATGTAAGTTGTCTTGATATTCTCGTTCAATTTTTTCCATACGTAATCTGTAGTGATTAATAGAACTAATTATTTAGAATATTTATATGCATATAGACAATCAGTAGGAATGCTTGTAGTACTTGACAAATATATCTACGAGTATCAAAAAACCAGTCAAGAATTTTTGGTCAAGCTTTTGGGCGCTGTGAAATTGCGCTGCATTAAAATATTTGAGAAGTTCACTGTAAGTAAAATGTGATATGACTATTGATCATTGTTTATTTTTTACTGATTATCATGAATATTTTCATGGGCATTTTTATTAATATAAATAGAATGAACAATTAAGAGCAATTGAGGATACAAAAGTCACTATAAAGAAACGAAAAGGAATCATATTATTCATAAAGCTGTTTCCGGTAAATTATATTAATTTAATAATTATGTCAATATTTCCCCTTTATTGAACTTTTTTGTTTATGTAGCGCTATTGTGAACGTATTGAACATTCAATGGAAGGAGAACTCGTGGATAAATTAGAAGTTCGTGAGATTGTTAACAAGTCGTATGAAAGAATTGTAAAGACAATGTTTGATTCGTTGGAGGCTATTGCAAAAGACACGGGGTCTTTGGCCGATGATAAGGAACAATTGAATGTTCATACTATGATGTTGGGTGCGTTGAATCTTCTTGTGTTTCTCTTTTTGAATCTCTCACTTCAAATAATATAGATTAATTTTAATGGTTATTATCATTCTTGAAATAAAATTATTTCAGAAAATATGCACCACTTTTACACGGAGATTCTCACGCATAAAATTAGTGTCTTGGAGCCATACGTGAAACACGCGAAAACTTCTTATGAGAAACATTTGGAAGCATATTCTAAATCTGTTCTCCGAAAACCATTTGGAAAATTAATAGTAAGCCGTTATACTCATTCAGTCAATAGCAAATATTTTTCCTTTATCCGTAATAATATATCGGGAATTTGCTTTATTGTTTCCCGTAGGAATTTTTCGATGGTATAGCTAAATTAGAAAAGACTACTGCAGCGCCAGAAGAAGTCGGTTTCCATCTTCGATATAGTAAAGATGCCCTAAAGAAAGTTATATCCCAATTTCCAGGCAAAGAGGTGAATTTATGATGTTTACTTGCCATATCTTCTATTTTATTTCCGGTTGCTTAAATTTTGTTTTTTTATTTGATATACAAAGATAAAAAAAGGTCTCGAATCGTCATATAGGCGCGTAGACCGACATTTCACTCAAGAGGAGGGATTACTTCAAGTTGTCTGGCTTAGCATACAAACAACGCTTCTCGACTATCATAAACAATTCACCGCAAGAATCAACAAGTGTTACCCAGACACCAATATCTCGTTGGAATTCACCACTGAAGATTTAACAAATTATTTTTCAGAGCTGGCGCGGAATCATTAACCAGCACCATATTATTATTATTATTATTTGAGGATAATATCGTCGTGGCGGTTAAAAATGGTCATTTTGATTATATGATATTGGAAATTATTTATTTAATTTATTTAGATTTATCATTATTCTGTTCAAAAAATTTTATTGCATCTATTATGTAATACCAATGAAAAAATTAAAAAGATGATAGAATAATAAATTGTAATTAGATGTTGAATGATGTATTACTTTCATAAAATAAACACTCATGACGACGCATTCTTCTCGAAAAAAGAAATTCGAGTGCGCAATCTTTTTGGCATCCAAATCCTAAAATTGCGAATAGCAGCTTTTCCACCGGGTACTAGCATTCCGATGTTTTCTTTCCACCACTGTTTATTATAAGCCATTTGACGATCGTACGCTTTATCCAGAAAATCTTTGTAGAAAATTGACATCTCTGCTGGAGTTGGTTTTCTGCCGGTTTTTAATTTGACTTTGATATTGATGAGAAAAAAATCTTTTTTAAGATTTTTGATGATACACGTAATGTCAAATAAATATGATACCAACTTTGATCTTCGTATTCTTGTTTCTCATCGATGAATAATTTGTTGTTGATTGTCCAAAATTGGTGGTTTAATTGATCAACGCGTTCCCTGTGTAGTCGCCATTCGATATCCTATTAATTTTATTAATTTATTAGATACGAACTAAATCTGATTTTGATAAAATTGAATATACTTACCTGTGGGGATTCATTTTCGGGTATGTAATATTTGATCGGTCGTAAATTTGATATTTTATCAGGTATTCCGACGTAATCGGTCTTTAAGGATTTGTGACTATAAAGTTCTGCCGTGGCGAAAAATTTTGATTTCAGACGCGTTGGTGATATGGTTACGGTGGCGTTTGTGGCCTTTTGTATTTTTTGTACGATCTATTTAAAAAATTATATGTAATTTTTTACGCAATTCTTGAAATCTTGATTTTTAATTTTTGTCGTACATTATTATTTTTTGGAATAGCTAAATTCTATAAGTTGTGATCTCGAACAATTCATTATTAATTACCTATCTCATTATTTTTGGTTTTTACATTATTTATTATCGATGAATGAAATGAATTGACTGACCCTTTTAGAAAAACTCATTTGCGATATGGTGGATTGGATATTTCTATGACTCAAGATCGTGTATTTTTAGCATTAAATTATACACGAATTAATGCAGCATTATAAGGGAAATCGTTCTTGAATGAAGGAAAAATCCATTTTTACATAAAGGACGTGACACAATCATCAAATATAGCAATAGCAAAGTAAAATGATAATTTATTAAGATGATAACATTATCACTAATCTAAATTATTATTTCGTTTATCCATCCTCATCATCATCATCCAACAAATAATCTTTGATTTGTATTTTCAAATTCTCGCGCTTCGTATGACTTTCAACAGCTTCAGCTACATATGGTGGAAATTCAACAATGCTTTTGATGTCACGCATGTTAACAAGACATGCATAGCATAATGTATCTGATATTTCAAGATTTGGCCGTTGCAATTGTTTGTGATGATTATATTGTTGATCTGATATGTTGTTTGCTGCACAACAACTACCATTTGATGCGCATTGGCATGATGAATTATGATAATCCATAGGAGTCGATTTTTGCGAAGGTGATGCGAATGGTGATTGAGAAGGAAGTGGAGATTGCTTCATGTGAACTGTTATACGGCTTTGCCAGTTTTTGATTCCTTCCTTGTAAGGCCTAAAGAATTTTTTCACGATTTTCAAAATCAAAATAGAAATTGTCATTTCTTATTCATCCCTGTCTTCAAGAAATACGCCGAATACGTACATCATACAAACAGCGCAACTCCATTCCAAATTAATCAAATTCGACGGTTTTAATTTTGCACCAGTTCTTGCAATTGTGCTGACTGTTGATGGGTAATCTTTTTCTAATCCAACAATAAAATCTGTAAATCAAAGATTTTTTAGAAATTATATACCGGGTATTATGTGATATTAAACTATTAATATGACATATACCTTCGGTTAATTTCTCGATGCTAGATTTTGCAGGCATCATAGAAGTCAACGTAGGAGTAACTACTATATCATCGACAAGCCCAGTGAATCGATTGTAAATACCGATTTCTTTGGAAAGCATATCCTTCATTGGTCTTAATATTATCACGTCTATTAAATCCAAGTCAATGATTTTGTCAGAGTAGAAAATTAAAATTAAATTCGTAATGATCTTTTGCTTTATAAATCTGAAAAATTTCTTCTCGAATTATTGCAACAACCCAAAATAAAAAGTCGATTAATATTTGTAGATACCTTTAAACCAATTACACTCCCCTGACGTCTCCAATGGTAAACTGAAACCACGTCCTTTGCTCGTCAACGAAATAATTTTTATCGAAAGACGTGTTGAACAGTCGCCCATAAATAATCTCGTGCATCTGCACGAAAAGAATAAAATTAATAAATAATGTATAAAATAAAAAGTATCGCATTTTGCTCTAATTCCGATAATTGATTAAGGATAAAGTATGTACGTGTTATGTATAAAGCATTACCCTCTTTTACGAGCCATTTGCATCAATAAACACAATTTAAAATGCCACAGCAATTCTTCTTTGGACGTAAGACTTGATATGGCGCCAAGAAGAGACTTCAATTTTTCGCGATTTGATAAAGAACTTTGGGTATAGATTCTAGAAAGTAATTCTTCGCAGAATAGAGAGATAATGTTAATAATTATTTGAAATTGAAGAGAGAATATTAAATAAGAATAACCTTTTGCTTGAGTTCTTTTAGAATCATCAAATGTAACTTCAATAACATTATCATAGAATCCAATAGATGTATATTCGGGCGAAAAAATCTCTTCTAATCTCAGTCCTATAAATTCGTAATTATATTTTCTAGCTATCAATTCTACTTTGTGTAGTGTGCTATTTTCCTACGGTTGATAATAAACAAAATCATTGATTTTTTTTATTAAAGCAAAAAATTATATGTTAAACCCAAAAAATAAAAACACCTTCTCCTTTTCTTGATCATCGAATATTGCAACGCTTTCATCAACATGACAGATTTTGACCTCGTTAAAAATGGATTTCTTTGATATTTCATGTGGTAATGGTTCGCAATAGTCACGCAATAGTTGAAGCAAGCACCTAATTCAAAATAAGTTAGTTTAATATTAATTTTTTTAAAATAAAAATAATCAAGCTAATTATTTCCTTTCCAAAAAAACCTTGATGAAGGGCCTCCTGATAGCGCGACCATTGCCTTTTCATCGGAACCAGAATGAGTTACGCGTGATTTTTCGAGATTTTTTCGAAATTTTCCCACGAAAACATGTTGAAAACATGATCTTTTTAATAACGATAAGACCAAATTAACACCGAAAAAAATGTAGATTAAAAAAAAATAGAATGAAGACACTTACTTGCAATAAGTAGAATATCGTATTAATATCGTAGCATTAGCTACCTTACATTTTATACACTTTTTACCAGTCGATAAAGTTGCTTGCTCTATCGAGAAGTAATATGAAAAGCTAATATATTCTTATCGTTCCTATTAAGCTATAATAAAAATACCTTTAACCAATATCGGTTCCTCAATATTACACATTTTACAAAGGAAATATGTAAATTATGCAAAGTTACAAAATGTCTAATATCAATTTAGTCTTGATCATATATAAAATATCTACAATGTCATCGTAGATACTTCATTGGTTTTTTAACCTTGCATCCCTGTAGTTATCAATGGAGTTTACCTTAGTTTCTAGCACAGGCTTTCATTCTTCAAGCTGTGGTTACTGCAAAGGAGGAGAAAGCTCCTCGCATACCTTTGGCATTTATGCTTATTATATGACTTGTCGGGCATGTCAAATACCTCAAATTTTATTACTCTTCGTCGTATTTGTGAAAATGTCTTCTAAGTAAATGTAATTTTCTGGATTTTTAGGATTATCAAGATCTCTTAGACCGTGGTTGGAGGCGGTAAAATACACTGTTTTTGGTGAAATTGACAAAATTAACTATTCGATAACAATTGATATGATTTCGATGATTTTAACAGTTCAGGGCATTACACGTATAAGCCAAATATTCGAGACAGTTGCTGTCCACAGTATACAATAAGGTATTTTAATATGATTACATTAAATTGGCTGATTTGAGTTTACGGTTCGTTCAAAGAATCGTCCGATGTTCAAGGAATTCAATCTCATTTAATTTGTATAGATTAAACGCGCTCAAATTCCAAGCTCCAAGATCACAGAGGAAATTAATTAATAAATTTAATCGCTATTTCGAAGGATTGTTTGTGCCTTCGTTAGCGGAAGGAAAAGAATTGGAATTGATTGCAATACACAAGTAAGGATAAATGTCTTATTAGTTGATGTTGTTTCATTACCAGAATAAAATGTTTTTACTTTTTCGAATTTTTTAATTTAGGGAAGATCCTCAACCTAATACTAATGTTAAATCGAAAAAAGCAAATAAGAATGCACCTACATTTGATTTAGTTGAAGCCATTCACGAACCTGAAGAAAAACAAGATTGGAAGCATCGGTTCAGGGTATAATTGATTACATATAATGATCTTATTTATGTTAGTCATTCGTGTTATTCCTAATTTTTTCCTTTATTTCCAATAAATCATCAGATTATATTAGAGGAGTCTTCTTTTACTCAAGAAAAATTTCAGTTATATAAAAAGTACCAAGTGAATATTCATAAGAATGAACCATCTGAAGTCACAGAAAATAGTTTTAAGCGGTTTCTCGTAGACTCGCCATTAATTGTTTGTACATATTTTATTAATTCAAATAAATATCTATTTGTGTATTGTTTATATTTATTTTATACCTCTATTATTATAAAAGTTTGAGCCCCCATCCAGACCCAATACTCCCGGTCACGGTTCATTTCATCAACTCTATTATTTAGACGACAAATTAATAGCAGTTGCAGTTCTTGACATCCTTCCGAAATGTGTGTCGTCTGTTTATTTTATGTATGATACGGACTATTCGTTTCTTGGGCTTGGAAAGTATAGCGCGTTGCGAGAAATTTCTCTCTGTAAGGAATTACATGCTGCTGGATATACTGAGTTGGAATGGTATTACATGGGTATTTATATGTGTTTTTTATATTAATATTTATTATCTTTGGGAATTCTTAACGGAATGCTTTATTTTTCATTTAAAATTTACAGGCTTTTATATTCATTTCTGTCAAAAAATGCGATATAAGGGTCAATATCAGCCATCTGATCTATTGGATCCCGTTAGTATATAAAATGCGATTTTTCTTTTTCGCTGCATAAAATTTTTAATATGTATCATTTTTTTGAACAGGAAACATTCGAATGGTATCCTTTCGATAAATGCGCATCCCTACTAGATAAGCAAAAATACGTGGTATTCTCAAATCCCAAGCTTGCCGAAGAAAATTCCATAGAATCAAATTCGTCATCGTCATCGTCATCGTCATCATCCTTTGACGTCAATTGCATCCCGCCAGGAATGCTGGACCCCAAAAATCTCACTTTTCAAGATTTGCGTAAAGTTCCCGTATTCACAAATAGAACGATAAAGAGAGTAGAGGTAACTTTTTTCAATTACGATTTTTAAGCAGATTGATTTTGTTCTGCCTTTTCTAATTTTTAATAAAAAGAAAATAATAGTCAATTAGTAGAATTCAGCGCAACGAAGAGGCATTAGAAACATTGAAAGAGTTTGTCGCGGCTCTGGGAAAAGACCTAGCTAATCGAATTGTTATATATTTGGACAATGTGTAAATTAATTTTATTTGTAATTTTATGTGATGCTACCTCGGCATTTCTGTTATTTTGTAATAAACTCAAAAGATTCTTGAAATGGAGTGGATTTACATCACAGTATGAAAGTGTAAAATTTAGGACGCGTTTTTGTTTAAAAATCGGACAACATACAATAATTTCAAAAATGATCTTTTCAGACACAAAATAATAGATAATCCTTTCAATGTGACAACCATTTTCGTCCTTTCGTTCTTCTCCTAATTAGTATCTTTCGCCCATTTCTCGAACGTACTCTTGCCAGAAACCCGTGTCGTCGTTTACGCACCCTGTTACTCGGTTGATACTCGCGACCATATGCACGAAAACGAACTTGTTGTAGCGAATAGGTAGCGGTGGTCGGAAAAAACTTAAGTGAAGGCAATGAAGATATTATCAGGGATAAGGAGGAGAATTGCTGTATTGGTGACCTTTCGAAAATAGGAAGGTCAGAAGATGTAATATATATATTTATATATATATATGAGAGAAATTACTGGTTTACCTCTTTGATATGTTTAAAGAAGAAATTATTGTGGAGTTCAAGCTTGGAGAAGTTACGGGTGGTGGTAGGTTTGGTTTTATTAACGAGATTCTTGTCGTCGAAGGTATTCTGATAGGGGAATAAGCCAAGACCCGGCGAAAATGGTTTTTAAAAAGAGAGAAAATCATTTTTTTTATTTGCGCAGTCTATTTATTATGAATGTCCACATATAAATATCGAATATAAGTTCGTCTTTTTATTATTATTTCAATATCACAATGGAATGACTAACATAATACGCGCGATAAATAAACTTGATCATATCCAGAACCAAGATAACAGATGTTCCCGTTCTTACCATTGTAATTCTGTCCTTCGATCAAAGATCTTTAAATTTTATAATAAAGGAATCAATTAACATTAGTTTGACAATTTGTTCGATGTTATATTCTTTGTTAGAATTTAAATTTGAATTTTAAAGTCCTTTATATATATACAGTTTGAATTCTTGGAATATTACCGATGTTGATCTATACTAAAAAGAAATTTTTTGCAACTGTCCCGAAGGAATGATTGCAATATTTGTAAATTATTCAATGTAACATCCGATGTAACGTGCTATGATTTCAAACTACACTGGCATTATTACATTTTGTGTTATATATAAATGAAAAAAGATATTTATTATTAGATGCTAAATGAAATAAATTTTATGAAATTTTCTATTACTACCGCAGCTACTCAACAAGCACCACGAAGACTGAATACAAGTAATTTATTTTCAGCTGATTCTGGAACCGGATCCGGACCGTCCAATATAAGACGCGAAAGATTAATTGGTTTCTTTGATTCAGCAGAAATTTCTTTACCACCGATTTTTGTTTTAACGTCTTTCTTTTCATGGTCAAAATTCAATAAAGCCTCTTTCAATTTTAGAAAAGACTGGCGCTCTTTTTCTGGAGTAATTCGACGATTGAAAAGCGATTCAATCGGGGGATATTTTTCCTCTTCAACGTCAGTATTATCGTCATCGTCGTCGTCATCAACTTCGATTGGATGCGGGAACATTGGCTGGTTAAACATTGATGATGGATTCATGGTTTGTGAAGATAAACCGGTTGTTCCACGGACAGTTGAGTTAATGGCAGGGGGCGTTACAGGGGCCATGACATTCAAGTTCTCTTGAATAGGCTGCATTGATTTTTCACCAGCATCTGTACGTCGCCTCTTTGGCAAATTTCCGTCTGGTAAATCTACATCAATCGATTCAGATGTTTTATTTGTGTTATGAACTGATGATTGTTGTGTAGGAATAGACGCCGATTTTTCAACTTCAAGAGAGGATTTTCTTTGCCTTTTATTGGAAGTTTGGTTGGTGGTCTGTTGAGTATCGTTACCGACTGGTATATTATTTTGTGCATTTCCCATCTGATTCGCGATCATTCCAGTATTTTGATTTGTCACTACGCCGCCGGTTAAATCAACATTCTGATTACTACTTGTACTTGTTGATGCTTTATTAATGCTATTATTGGTTTGCTTTGTTAATTTGGGAGAATTTGGTTTATTAGAATTAGACCTTGCATTTGGTGTTTTACCCGCATTATTACCATGCCTTGACGTCGGAAGTGTTAGATTAAAATTACTTGGAGCCGCCGAAATGACATCCTTCAAATTTGGAGGTGGTGAAGTTCGCGGGATCGTAAATATATCAGCTGTGATATCCCCTCTGCGGCTTTTTTCCGCCACTTCATAGTACCATCTGAATTCGTTAAACAATTTTTCACAACTATTTAATTGCATGATCATCATCTTTCCTTCGGATAGTGCTTTTTGTAGATCTCCGATCATTTTTTTCAGCTTCAAAATTGTAATGATAGCGTTCGGCGCTTTATAAAAATGCCAAAGGTATGGGAGATACTCGTCCATCTTTTCGTACATTGGTTTGATTAATTCCATTTTTTCCGAAATGGCACTTTTCTCTTGGTCAGAAATTTCTATAGGCTTATAATTCACGTTTTCGTTTCGATATCCCTCGCGTATTTTGTTTATTTGTATCGTGGCCTCTGTTATTTCTGAATCGGTAGGAATTTTTTGTAGTTCATTTTTTGCTATTGATGATGCGGGTATAATACTAGCTTGGGAAGGTGCTGGTTGTTTTTGAATATTGCCGATGACAGGATGAGGTGCAGTATTAACAGGGATTGACGTTATATTCGGGACGGGGTTTGTGGATGAAATATTAAACGTGTATGGGATTACAGGGGTTTTCGCGGGTTGTTTTTTCATTGTAGATGGTGTTGTATTGATTACTCCGGGATTTATCAAAGAAGTAGCTGTCGGAACAGTCGCGGATGACAATTGATCAATATTGTTCAGGAAACCTTCGGCAGCAGGCGTGCCCGCCGTCGTTGGCATTTGAAAACTAGCAGCTTGCATTGCTTGGAGATTTCCAATCGATGGTCGAATATTGGCAGCTTGTAATAAACTGGGTCTCAACGCAGGATTTATTCCAGTCATAGGTCTTGCTTGTAGACCAATCGGTAATTGAACTTGACCAGCTGCAAGTTGAGCTGCTTGATTAGGGTTGATTAAATTTGGTGCCGTCACAGTTGCACCACCAGGATTTACTTGAGCGCCGTTTACATTTAATATAGGGCGAACAGCTCGAAGTTGATTTGCAAGCGCTGGAGTAGCAAGACGAAGTGAAATTCCAGCAAGCTTGTTTCTGACATCCTGAGTCAATTGAGTTTCAGGTGTTATCCCCGGGATTGCTTTGAGGATTTCAGCTTCATTTGCAGTTAATCGTGGATTGTTATTTTTTAGAATATTTTCAATAGTTTGTTTTAATCGTATTTGCATCATAAGATTTTGATGCTGCTGCGGAGATATTTGTGGTATTTGAGTTGAAGTAGCGATATTTGGTTGTTGCTGCTGTTGCTGCTGCTGTTGTTGTTGTTGAGCAGCCAATTGTTGCAATTGAAGTCGTTTCTGTTGAAAAAGAATTTGTTGTTGTGGTGACAGTTGTGATATTTGTTGTGGTGTTAATTTTGCTAATTGTGTTAGTTGTTGAGTTAATTGCAGCGATTGCAACTGCTGTTGACTCAATTGTTGTTGCAATTGCTGTTGATTCAAATGCTGTTGTAGCTGTTGTTGATTCAATTGCTGATTCAATTGCTGTTGTAACTGTTGTTGTTGACTAAATCGAATCTGTTGTCTTAGAAATTGCTGTTGTTGTTGTTGTAACATAGTTGCATTATTAATAGCATTATTATTAGTAGCAGTAACATTATTAGTTGCGGTGTTATTAATTATATTATTAGTAGCAGACGCATTATTATTGTTATTATTGCTGCTGCTGCTGCTGTTGTTGTTATTGTTGTTGTTGCTGTTATTGCTGTTGCTGTTGCTATTGTTGACATTTGCAGTAGTAATCGCAGTCGGTGGAAACATTTGTATTCTTTGCTGAAATAGATTCGATTGTGGCATTTGAGCTAAAAATTGGGCCGCCTGTTGCTGCTGTTGTTGTGTCTGTTGCTGCTGTTGCTGCTGCTGCTGTTGTTGTTGAGGTGTTTGATTTTGCATGACTCCGGGTCTGGGTGATTGTTGTTGTTGTTGATGTTGTTGCTGTGGTTGTGATTGTTGTTGAATTGATGGCACTTGGGGTGAGTGTTGAGCTGACATCATTTGTGGAGTTTGCGGTTGTGGTTGTGATGGAGTCAGCGATTGTAATTGTGGTGTCTGGGATTGCGATGATTGTTGTTGCTGCTGCTGCTGCTGCTGCTGCTGCAGTTGTTGTTGTAATTGATGTTGATGGAGTTGCATAACTAGTTGCTGCTGTTGTTGCGGAGTTAAATTTTGCAACATATGATTACGCTGTAATCGTTGTTGTTGAGCAACAGCTTGGTCCCGTCTATGAGCAGCCAACATGGCATTCTGTTGTTGCGCCTGTTGTTGTGCCTGTTGTTGCTGTTGCTGTTGTTGTTGTTGGAGTCGCTGCGCAACAGCATTTTGTTGTTGCTGCATAGCATATTGAGGATTCATCTCCATTAATTTATTTACTAAAAGATTCTGATACTCCGCTTTACTCTTAGCAATCTTATATATAGTATCTTCAAGAGTTTTTGCACGCGCAAAACATGTTGCTTTATCTTCATTTGGAGTAGTTTTGACTATGTTCGCGTGAAGGGTCGCAATTACTCTTTTCCGTAAATCTTCGTCTATTTCCTCCACGTTAAACTGTAGTGAGGAGTTGTTTCCGGATTTTAGCTGCTGATTTTGGTTGTCCATTCTCTCTCAGAGTTACCACCGTCAGAGATCGTTATAAAAAGTATTAAATAATAGAGCAATAAATGAAAATATATTGTATAAACGCTGCTTCTTTTATCTGCTATATGAGAAACTTGAATAGTTAGAAATGCAACAATGCTATAATTAACTGCGTCCCAAATACAAGGCGACTTAAATATCCACGTGGTATGTAAGAAAATATCCATTAAATCCGGATTTGTTTCTCCTTAATGTTAATGTTAATGTTTAAAAAAAAATGCCAACATCACCACCAACTTTATCAACATTGACCTACACTGCATGTTATTGCGAGTATGATTGTGTCGTAACTCGTTTCATCCGGGAACGATAAAGATTCTAGGAAAAATTTAAAATATATGCTATTTTTGCTGGTTTCTATTTCTAGTAAGAATAAACCGTAGCTCATTTGAATGGATCCCTTTTGTATTTATTAGTGTTGAATATCTTGCGGAAGGTGGCTTTTGGATCAATTCATAA